TTTCTTGGAAAAGAAAAACTAGGGTCCTAGGAAGATTATAAATATATTAGGTAAGTTATAGTTATTTTTATGTAGGATCTATTTTTATTAACTCGAGATTCTCAATTATTATGAAAAAAAGAAAGAAAAACCTATTTCCTATAAAATGGAAGATTTTGTGGCATCAAGTCAGGAGGAATCAGGTGTGGAATCTTCTAAATACTATTCATGGCATTCATGATTCTTTAAGATACCATGATACAGGAAGTTTCTAGAACTTCCCAGGACATTACTAGAAGAATTTATAATTCAGAAATGTCTGAAATTAAATAGTATACATAACTAGAGTCTCTGAGATGTTGAGGCCAGCCTAGTATCTTATCTCAGAGGCTAAGGGGTTAATAGCTTTACTAATTATTATGAGACCCTCAGCTTCTGTCCATTTGGCTAATAGAATATATTTATCCATGTAGGTTGACTGCATGTTATTTCATAGGTAAGAGGGATAAAACATATAAAATCTTTGACATATGAAATTATTTTTATATTAGCATATCTTCAATGACATTTTATATTATACTTTATCTTATTTCTTAAAAGTGAATACAAAAAGGTCTTTTATCAAACAGGAACTAAATTAGGGTAATAAAATGTATAACTTTTTCAAAAAGAAGGCTTGGGAGCTTTGAGATCATTTGACAAAATTTGAAAATCTACAGTAAGCAGGTTTGTTGTGCTGACATGTTTTTCCTAAACGTTTAATTTCCTTTAGTAAGTATAAAATGAAAACTTCACTGATTTTTTTTCTCTTGCTTTCAAGGCTATATACATTTCTTCAATAATTGCTCAGCATCGCTGGTCATTAACTGGCACAGATTTGGTGACCGAAAGTGTAGTTTTGCAAGCCAAATCATTATATTGTAGAGGTGTCAGATTATAAATTCTGTTTATGTTCATGGAAATTCACTTCAAACTATAAAAGTACAAAAATTAATTGCATATGCACATGTGCATGCCCACACAGACCTTTACTAATTATACAAATATACAAAGCCAATCCCAATATAGAAGCCATCTCAGAACAAGAAGTGGGGTCTAATGCCAGAGATAGAGGTAATTATACTTTAAACAATTTAAAATATGGGTAAAATATATATTGACTATACTATAAATTACCAACACTGACACAAGAAGAGTCAAAGTACCATGACAGAAGTTTTCAAAGTTGTTCTAGAATGGCTTCCAGAAAGTTTCTGGGCCTGTTTTCCTGAAAGTTTCTTCAGACTTTCTAGTGATGTATTAATTGCCAAAGTGTTCATTACAGAGCACCATAAAGGAGAGAAATTTTCCTAATTTTATTTTACATTTATTTTAAGAGGTTAGCATAGTCCTGATTTGAAAATCTAACAAATATTGGATAAAAATAGAAAGCTATAAACCAATCTCACTATTAATAAAGTTGCTAACGTTATAAATAAATCTTAGAAAACGGAATGCAGTACCATAGCAAAAAAACTATATCCTGATTGCCAACAATTACTCTTGACTTTTCACAATTCATATGCTAAATATAATTCCATTAGTAATGCCTCTCATTACTGTAGTGGTTCTTAAAGAAGGGGAGTCAATAGGGAGAGGAAATGAGTAGTTTGGAAAAAGAAATGCACGTACTGTGTCAGACACCAAGGAGAGTCACTGTCCCACAGGCCCCAGGAAATAAAGGCTTAAAAATGATTCTATTTTCCTCTCTGTTCTTTTCTGGATTTCCTAAATTCTTTGAAATACACATATTTCATTTATAATTATAAGAAATTAACAAGAAGGAAAACAAAATAACAAACAAAACCAGCAACATCAAACAAAAACAACATTATAAAGTTCCTGTGTGGGGATGGGACTGGTAAAGTCTTTCAAATGTGAAACAAACCAAGTTTGGAGTGAAGTTCTCCTATTTCCTTCAATATTCCTGCCCAGACATGGGCATTATTTATTGCTCCAAGAACCTTTAAACTGCATTCAAATTAGGACCATCTGTCCCCCAAGTTTAATCTACTGACCGGTTTTCTCTAAAATTTTTTGAAAGGTGAAATCTGATGTCTTATTCTAAGACCACCTCAGACTGAGTCAATCAAATCACCATCAACTTTAACCAGCTTCTGAGCGTTCCCCTCTACTTGGAGCCGTGTTGGCCAAGGTTAACGTCATTTAGGCATTATAAATACAGATCCTGGTTATTACTGTAAGGGTCTTATTTATTATAAAAATATAACCTATGAGCAAAGAGTTCACAGTTCAAGCCAATGTAAGTTGGAATTTGTCTAAAACTGTGAGAGTACCTTCAAATCAAGTTGCTGTAAGTCAAGTACTATTTATACTAAAACTCAATTTTATGGAATATAGAGAAAGAGTTTTACTGAGTACAGTGACATACAATTTATATAATTTTTATATGGACACACCCATTAATGTGTGTTTTGGTCTGAAGTGTGTCTCTCCAAAATTCATGTAAAAGTTCTAAACCCTGGTACCTCAAAATGTGACTGTATTTGGAGATAAAGCCTTTCAAGATATAATTAAGTTAAAATGAGGTCATTAGGGTGGGCCCTCATCCAATATGACCGGTGTCCATATAAGAAGAGGAAATGTGGACACAGACAAATGGTGTTCTTTGTAGAGGGAAGACCATGTGAAAATATAGAAAGACGACAGCAATGCATAAACCAAGGAGAAAGGCCTCAGGGAAACCCACCCCACTGACACCTGATCTCAGAATTCCAGCCTCCAGAGCTACGAGAAAATTAATTTCTATAGTTTAAGCTTCTCAGTCTATGATACTTCATTATGGCATCTAGTAAATACAGTGTGCGTGTGTGTGTGTGTGTGTGTGTGTGTGTGTGTGTGTGTGATCTGAAACATAATTGTTACTCATGTCAGCTAGAGCGGCCTTACCATATAATATCTCATTTCATATATTATAAAAGTCTAAAATCTTCCCAAAGATTCCTGTAAGTTCCTACGGACTAGTGTCCTTCTAGCTTCAACCTCCCTGCCTCTGCTGAATTTCTTCATATCAGAAGTCATTTCACAATCTCCAACTTTTGTGGTCCCTGTCCCATGCTAACCTAGGGTAGACCCCAGGTCTTTCCATTAATTTCTGTCAAGATAAAATAAAATAAAGTAAAATGCTAACAGCATCCGAAAACAAAAATAAAACATCACCTTCGCATAAAATAACTGTGAACATGGCTGATGTTACATCCAAGAAACGCAAAGAACTTAAAACATTAGCTATCTCTGCCCTAATGGGTTCCCTTAGCCAGTTTCACAAGTGGGGGTCTCCTCCCCCACTTCTTCTCCTCCTCCCCCTTTCCTTCTCCCCTGATTCCTCTCCCCTCTTCTCTCTCTCCCTCCCTCCCTCCTTCCCTCCTGTACACACCCTGATCTTCCTTCTCCTTTTCTTGGCCCTTCCCCCATCTACAGTAACTTGGCGATCACTTTTTGTGAGTTTGGCTCATGTTTTCAGGATCCCCATTCTACCTCAAATTGCTAATCAGACTATTTCCTCAAGCAGAGACAGTTCCGTTTCTCAGAGAAATTCAGAACCAGCTGTTAAAGTTACACAGTTCTATTCTTGTTACATTATATTTAGCCAAGTTACTGAAAACAGTGAGGCAATGTTTCAAGATGTTTTTTCACCCTGATTCAAAAATAAACATCAATCATTTAATGTCATCTAATATTAAATACAGTAGCCTTCCATATGACCTCTAAGCAGACTCAGGTCTAAAAATCTCCATTCAACCTCGTGGAAATTATTTTAAAATTTTGCAGTTCCATTGGAATTTTGACCACACATATGAACTCTGAACCTAATTTTTTAAAGAGTCAACTCTTTAGCAAATGATTTAAACTATGATTTCAAAGTGGAGGGTTTTAAAACTAAGAACCTTTTACATGTGCCACTTTCTATAAGGAACATAGAAAAGAAAGCTTAGTTTTGCTTTTATTCAAAAAAATCTTCCACATAATTAACACATGTTGATAGAGATTGCCTAGTTGAAGATGTCAGTTTATGATTTGAGGAAGAAAATGAAAATACATTCTGGTTCAAATCGTTTCTTAGGGAACAGGCTGCTACTGCCACCTGGGGGAGGTTCTTCTCTGCTTCATTCAAAAAAAGCCAAATGTGTTTGTCAGATGAATGAAGCCAGTTCGTGTTTTCCTTGTCATATCCACACACACGAAGATGACTTTTTAACTTTCTGCCCATGAAATCATAAGGCATTCCAGATGTCTCCAAGACTGCTTCACGCAGAAATACATACTTCACAGGCTTTTGGAGAGGTACAGGAGAAGATGAACCAGAATATAACCATATAAAGGTATTTACATCCTACACAAGAAAGCACGTATTTTGGAAAGTATGGGTTATATACTAAGAAGTGGGGGGAAGAATCAAGTTTAAGCTTTCAATAACAAAATAAAACCCTCCTTTTTAGGCAAAATTTATTTGGCTTCAAGTTATAGTTAATTGCACACCGTAAATGCAGTATCATTAATTGATATGAAAACTGGGTGTGCTGGTTTACTCATGCTAGTGAGTACATCAATTAAGATGAGATAATACATTTCAATTGCACGGAAATTGCCAAGAGAGTTTTCTTAGAGAATTTTTGCATTTATGAACTGAATATTGTTATAAAGTCAATGTATTTATTTCAGGTATGCTACGTATCTAATGGTTGAAACTTTTCATGAAGTAGTGATATGGTGTTCATCAATCACAATGGAAAACAGTGTGACCATTGCTTTTGAATATCTAGTTTCTGTTTAACACTTGCCAATAATGCATTACTGAATGCTATAGATAAATTGTTACCTATTAGCAATGCCCTGAAACAAAGAATTCCATCCCGGAAATAGAAGTTTAAGGAAGTACTTATTGAAATTACAGGCCTGTCAGGTGACATAAAAAACTCAGTGCTGATCAGACAAAGACAACTAATCATTAATCATTTACAGAGACCGTTCTGTAATAACAACATGCAGTGTCAGTCCCGGAGTGGTACAATAATAACGTCAAAAGGCTAAAGTTCGTACCAAAGAGCAACTGTACCAGCGTGAGGGAAGTCTTTTGTGGAAAGAACATTTTTTAACATTGAAAAAGGTACGTGACATACAGCAAATGGATTGGGATTCCATAATAATTATTATTTTTTAATCACATATCTGATTCAGGAGCAAAAAAAAAAAATCTTACATAAAGTGCAACCGACATGGCTGAATGAGGGGGGTGAGCTGTGGTCACCTTGAGAGACCCTGAAAATGACTATTTTTGTATGAGGGTATGAGGTTCCTTCGAGGTGTTCATGTTAGGGTCTGGGGAGATTGGGGTGAGGGGCATTAGCGGACAAGAAAGGCCAGAGGTACATGAAACTATATAATAGAAGTACAAGTTATAAGCAAAAATAATAAATATGGAACATTAAATGTCTTTATTTCTCAATCAGTAGTTGAGCACTTTTAGCAATTGGCCAGTAGCGCTGTTTTATTGATCTAATGAAAATGATTGATGATCTTATAATGCTCTAAGAGGCTTATCCTTTGCACAAAAGATCGACTACAATTTAGAGGCTCTCCTCCTCCTAACAGAGCTGCCCAATGTGCTGGACTTAATACTTCCCTGTGGTGTGCCATGGAGATGATTTAGTAATGATTTCAAAACAAATTACAAGTAGTTCTTTCTCATTTGCATCAGAATGTTGCCCGGTTGTAAAAAAAAAAAAAAAAGTAGTAAACAGAAACAGAAGTCTTCTTTAACATTATTCCTGTTTTATAGAAGCATTCAGGAAGTCAGGCAAGATGATTTTTTGCAGACACCACTTGTGTATTCAAGCGATGTAGAGGTGGGGAGGTGGGAGACTTTATTAAAATGCAGGAAGGGCTGTTTCTCCCACCATTCCGTTCCTACTTCGCCAAGAGTAAATAACTTCGAAATACTGCTGCTAGCTTTGAATTCTGGAAGCTCAGCACCCATTCCTAAACCAACTCACCTACCACACTGATGATTTAGCATATTCCTCCTAAACATGGTTTACATTATCTTCATGTAATTTGTTTTTTTTCCCCTCATTTTCCTGCAATTCTTCCTTCTTCCTCCCTCCCTTATCTGTATTTGACTTCTCCCTCCTCTCCATGGCAAATGACTGATATTGTTTGAATTTTCCCTCTGTCACTGGGGTGTGTCCGCTCCTCCAAGCTTTGGTCACTGCGATGGGAACACAGGTTAAAGGTAATACCTGGAGTGCCCCAGGCCAGTTAAGGAGCTTTTCATGGGGTGAACATTGAGGCCTACCTGCTTATGCTGAGCTTTTGTTTACCGACAGCCATGACGGACTCCAACAAGATGGTGATCAACTTGGCCCTCTTTGGCATGACTCAGAGTGGAAAAAGTAATGCTGGGAACATTCTTCTGGGAAGCACTGACTTCCACAGCAGCTTGGCTCCATGTTCTGTGACCGACCATTGTAGTCTGGGCCGCAGCTGTCACCTCCATGGCTTCATGCGTCGAGGGGGGCAAGAGATAGCCCTTCAGGTCCAGGTGTTGGACACCCCAGGTTATCCGCACAGCAGGCTGAGCAAGGACCATGTGAAACAGGAGGTCAGGGAGGCCCTGGCACGTCACTTTGGGCAAGAGGGTCTCCATCTTGCACTGCTGGTCCAGAGAGCAGATGTGCCTCTCTGCGGACATGAAGCATTGTTCCCAGTCCACATGATCCAGGTAAACAAAAAGGCAATTACACGAGTGCTGTTATTCCCATTTGGAGGACATTATCCTAACAGAAAAGAACTCTGAAAAACTGGTTAAAAGAGTAGTTTAAAGCATGTTTAAAACAAGTCATCTAAAACAAGTGTGGGTCACATAGAAATAGTTGGTAAAAATTACCTGATTTTCCCATCAAGGATCTGAATTATTTTTACAATTTTTATTACAGGAATTCAGTCAGTCTTTTTACAATTGGGTCACTGAATAAAAAATGAGGTACTAAACTTCAGAGGTTAACTAAGTCTTAAACTGGTAAGAACTGTAAGCCTGAATAAGTTTGTAGATGTGGTCCCCAGACTACGGGCAGCAGAATCAATTGGGCTCTTGTTAAAAGTGCAGATTCATCCAAGTCCTGCTGAAACAGAATCTCAAGAGTGGAGCCTACATATCTGCATTTGCATAAACTTTCCATGTATTTCTTAAAAACAGTCAAGTTTCAGAACCACTGAACAAAAATACTGACTCGCATCCATTCCACATCAAGGAGACAATCTCTTACAGTTAGTTCACCAACAAATAGGTATTCATTTACTGATTCAGTTACTGAGCACTGTAAAGAGAAACTGCACAGAGCTACATGATTGGGAATAATATATGACCCTGCCATCAAAAAGCTTAGAGTCTAGAAGAGACAAACAGATAAACAGGTCGAAGACAATGCATCATGCGCCAAAGCAGTGCAATGTGCGACTAGGGGGAAAGGAGACCCCCCTGAGATGTACATCATGGTAAACAGTGAGGAGAGATCTATACTTTATTTATAGGAGAGAAATCAGGGATTTCAGATGTTTTGCTTGCCTCATCTGTAGGGTCAGTAGCTGCCACATTCCAACCATGAGAAAACCACAGGGACCTCAGGCTGAACCTGAATGACAGACGCCATCTTTGTCAAGTGGTCCATCTCTGTTGTTTGTTCATTTATTGTAAGTCCCTAAGTTGGAGGCTTATTCAGCCAGTCTAAGAAAGAAGCTGGGGAGAGGGGAGAGGTCCTGGATATGGCCCCAGCTAGGAAACAGGGGAGTAATACCTGCATACAATTTATATATACATATATGAGCAAGGCCTATGCATGACCAATTCCTGAAAACTGCCCATTGATCTGCTCCATTCTATTAAATTTCTTGATTCTCTAGTAGGGGGCCACCCAAATTTACATGCTGGACTTGACTAGTATTCCTCAGTAGCCTCATTAAGTCACTGAGCTTGGAGAACTCATTTTTTTTTTTAAGATTTTTTTTTATTGGGGAATTGGGGGGATGGGAACAGTGCTGGGGAATTGGGGAAAGGGGAACAGACAAGTTGCTGTCGTTTTGCTCTTCAATCTAGTTGTGGAGGATGTTGCTTCACTGGCCCAAGTTGGCACCATCATTGCGCTCTTCTCTGGCGAG